TGTGTGTCTTATTTGACTGTAAAGTATAAGTGACTTTCCCGATCCCGCACCTCAAGGGGACGCGATATAGGGACGAGACGAGATTCCCCCCTGGCAAGTGTGGAGACCCCCGTGGAGAAGAGAATCTCCCCCTGATATAACACACACGCGGGAAGAACGCCTGGCAGTCGCAGGTGGAGGTCTAGGCGTTGTTATCATTACGGGTAAGTTCAAAGACAATTCTGCTCGCATTTTGCGACTAAATTCTTTTAATGAGCAATATTGATAATTATTTCATATTCTTAATACATCGATGATAAATATTTTGGTTTATGATTGTATTTCGTCATGGTAAATAGTGCAGCTGGAACGTCCCAGCTGGCTCCTCGCAGCCCTGAACCTAACATTCTGAAAAAAAATATGAAATTTGCCGAATGGCAAGTTTTATTATTACTGAGGGCGTTAGTCGCAGATAATCGTTTCACTGCTATCTTGAAAGAGTACAGGAAAGCCTGGTCTGCTGTCATCGAAAACCTTGTCAATGTGGACGTGTCGTTTGTTGTTGATGGTCGGCGGTGCAGAGAGAGGACTCATTTACTTTTGGAATACTATAAACAACAGGATATTGCAACCCTAAAAATGTTAGTTAACGCTTTAATCTTTTATTTCAAACTGTTTTGGTACCTCTTTTCAAAGAATCGTCATGCGCGTTGCTATCAAAACAATGACGCCATCATAAATGACATTTTCCCGCGACAATTTCGCTCTACCATTTTACAACTTGGTTGATTATTTGGTACAAAACAAAAATATTTTATTCAAAACTGACTGGAAGCCATGTTGGTTTTTCATTTCTCGGACATACCTTTAATTTGCTGTAGGTGCCACATTTTTATGTATTTTTTTAGATTTCCTTGTATTATGTGAAACTAAATTATCCTGCTGAAATTCATTTTTTATTATCCACATTTAGTTAATGAATCTTCAATTAACAGTTAACACAACTTTGAATTACAGGCATCATCATTTGTTTTTGTTTTATGTTCACATTCAGTAACCCCAAAATATTTCTTTTAGCTGGCAACATTGAAAGTCATCTATTGTCACCAACACCAAAAGGAACACCTTGTTCTGTCACCTCCATGGTTGATGGTTTGTTCAAAAAAGACAAGATGACGAGGTAAGTTTTCGGCGAGAGAAGATTGCTTTGAGAAGGAAGGAGTTGACAACAAAATTGATAAAGAACGTCTAGAAAATTTTCGAAAAGAAAGAGAAGAACATGCTAAAGTTGAAAATAGAGAAAGATCTTAGATTAATTATTGTGCTTTCTGTGTGCAATTAATTGTCATATTGGTAATCTAATGTTTTATGTATAATTCCCATGTCATGTCATGTCATACTGTAAAAGGGGTAATTGTTCACTGGGTTTTAATTTAGCTTATTTCGCTGACTAGAAAATGCGCTAAATTAAAACCCAGTGAATATGTAAAATTTAGCATAGAACACATTATCTAAATGACGAAACCGTGAATTTAAAACCCAATGAATATTAGTCATTTTACAGTATATGAAAATTGACACTTATTTTCATTTGAATCAAAATTCACCATATTTATGAAACTAAAGTTTGACAGAGCCGGATATTTATATATTTTGTGTTATTAAAATAACCATTGTTCATCACTGGTCAAATATTCTTCTAGAGATGGGAGCGGTTTGGCCCCCACGAAAAAAACTGCAAGAGAGAGAACTGCAATTCAGCGGCGCCACCAAGTAGGAGAGATAGGGTTCTCCCTACCAAGTGTGGGGTTTTTGATAATTCTACGTTAAAATGGGGCATTCTATGGCTTCCTTGGGCCCAAAATTACTATCTGACAGGTCACAGTTGAAGGCTGTGGCCACATGTGATCCCTCGTCAATCAGAATTGCATGGTTGCCAGAGGATCTGCTTCCCAAAGTAAGGGGCGCATGGCCATGGCATGAGGGCGCTGTGCCCCTGTTATCTTGTATGACAGTTATTGAGAAGTTTGCTTACCAAATAAAAATTCTTTCTGAAATCAAGAAAACTCAAATATCTAATTATTTTGCCGAAACCCCATTCGACACATTCATGTACTGAACGCATCTTCTTGTTAAACTCTCTCTCTCTTCAGGAGAAAATTAGAGAGCACCCTTGTATGGACATAGCAGATTTGGGACAATTATCGATTCAAATTTGACCGGATGTATTCGTTTATGTTCGCTGAAGACCTGTTTCTGGGTATGTATTGGTTGTGATATAGGTGGCGCTGTACTATTCATAACACCCCAACAGTTCATATTGTATATATACTTATATATACTGTACAACATTCAAGTTATACAAATTTAGCGTGACGGATAAATATTTAGGGGTACATTAAATACTAGAGAGAAGACAGAGGTGAGTTTTGTATTCGAGAAAAGACTAGTTTTATTGTAATTTGTCATTTAAACTCACCCAATGCAGCAAAAGTTGGCAATGTTTCACATCAATCGTGCATTCTGATTGTCGTCAACCCACAATGTAAAGACGCCCTCTGTGACTTCAAAATATATGCTTTCGTTTTTCTAAGCTTCGCGTGTCCCTACATAATAATCACATCAGCGAAAGACTTCCCTCAAGTGTCGAACATTCCAAATGACTTGTCCAACGTTTGTTGATTGACTGGAGTTAGTTGGTTTATATAAGACTGCGCCCTCTATAAGTTAACCGACATGCCCAGTTTTCAAAAAGACATTAGCGTCCTCTATGTTAAACTTTGGAGTTTTATCAGTATGGATTACAGCGATAGCTATGTAATTTCCTTAAATAGATAGGGACACCAACATACAGATAGAATAGAATTAATCTAATAATATATTTTATAGTTATTAGTGAGATATTACGTTTGTACGATAATAGTTACACTTTTTTTATTCATATGGTATTAACGATGTTGTGTTTTTGCTAGTTGTCTAAATTTATGAACGCCAGTGCCGTTGTTATGAGCGCTAGGAGCAGAACAACAGGAAAACAACACACAACTTTTTCGATGAATCAATTTACCGAAAGACATATGTGCTGATTTGATGAAACGTTTGAGTACGACAACCTATATCAATGAATGGTATACTATGAACAGACATAGGTAGTTTGACCTGGTAAATCGGAAGGCAGCTGCAGCAAATGACAAAAACAAAACAATGAGAGAATAATAAACATTCAAGCTTTCAAGAAAGTGTGTAACATCAGAAAGAATGAATTATGACAGCTAAAACTATTTCATAAGCAATGAACTTTAAGTGAATACAAATATTAAAACTATCGCTATATACCGACATTGTGTAATAAATCATTCGCAATCGAGAAAATATGGCCGCAAGGTTGCACCCGGGTCTCTATATTAAAATTTATTTCTTCAAGTGAACCTCGGGTGGTAATGGTACAAGATTAAAACATACCGGGGTCCCTGGACGAAATGTTAAAACGTCTCTATCTTGAGATGCTAAGCCTTTCTCTGATGGCGTCTTACGGATGATTTTTAGGGTTATTTCCGATAATAGTGTGCGTCTTGCAATATGGTTTCCTTCACGTGACCCACATTTCAACGAAACCTCTAGTATTCACATCGCATTTAACGGGTCAGACTCAGTTATATTTTGAACAAAAGAACATGTTCAAAATTACAGTTAATGCTGTTTTAGTGGTTTTTAGTTTCCACAATTCCACCGATTACATCAAATTCAAGATACAAACATTCAACGAATTTGTTGAAGGGTTAACTACTGGATATTTTATAGCCAAAATTGTTCGAAAAAGATGCATGATATGTGATTCGGACTTCGTAGTAGACTGAGAAAAATGTACTTTTAATGGTGCAACATGGCTAAATTATAAGCCGTGCCCGTCGCTTTGCTGATATACAATCGCAACTACATTGTATTAATTATGTTCATAGCAAGGATCATAATTTGGTCCTTGCATATACATGGCCACTCAATCTATATCAAATTCAGTAAGTTGATGTTATCGGCTATTGTGAACAGTGTTTACATATGCATTGGCACCACAATGGAAATAATCTGCTTAATTGGGTCATCATGTGCATAATTTTATTTTTACTCCTACATAATTACATATTGAAAAATCTGGATTAAATGAATCGTAATAAAGACTACTTCTCAAACGTTTAGGACTACTTTGTCATGTTTTTTTAGGTCCATATTTTCATTGCTTCACAATTTTTTAATCTTTCATTCCACTGTACATACATACAATTCTCCCTGTGATTACATTCCACTGTATGTGCACTGTTATCGTGATCCTTAATATAGTGGGCAAAGTTGTTTGCACCATGTGATGAATTATTATTTATCTCTATATTCATTGTAATTTTCGACATTAGATAGACAAGTGGAAGCTAAGATGGCGGAGTAGGTAGCGATGAAGAGTAGTTGGTGAATTCGGAGGTTTCAGCAAATGATATTGAGGCGAGGTATTGCAGATAATTGGCCGAACTGTGGGTTAGTAAAGGTAGACCCAGGTCAATCTTTGAGTGTGTACAATGCTAATATGGATAGCCTGTTTTTGTAGGGAAACGGGACAGAGGCGCTCTCGCCATTATCGTTTGTCGTGAATTGTGCATGGTGTCCTGATCTCTGGTAGCGTGCTGTGACCGCCATTGATATACCACAAGTTGAGTATGTAAAGAGTGTTCACTCTCGAATGTGACATAACTTCATGTGCAGCATGAGATCCATATTTATTTTCTTCACTGGTTTGACTAAGTAGTCTGATATATTGTTCCGTTTTGAACTTAAGGAGTGTGTAGTTGGTTGTTTAATTTGTGATGTTGTATAATTATGATGTTTCTATTTGAGGGCTACTATAGGTGATTTCCAGGAAACAAAAGTTTCTAGCGTTAAAGTTTTTTCCCCATGCACAGTTCTCGGAATCTCCGCAATTCGTGACCATGATGAGTGGGTTGTTGACAGAAAGACTTTAGAACCTGGAAGAAAATGAAGAGCTTTCCGATTGATAAATTGCACAGACAATAAATACTACTCCATTCCTCATTTTTATAGTTATTGCTGAATATTACAAAACACCCACTTATTATCAAGTAATTCTCTATGACATACTCACGTGCACAAATTTCTTGTTCCAAGAGAGAAACAACATACCCCTCTTTTATTTTAGCAATTTCTGGATACTCACTAGTCGATATATCAGCAAATGTTTTCACTTGTGGAACATTGGCGTTTTTCAGTATGGTTAGCATCGTCTAAGACAAGGAACAAGAATACGTTATTAAAACTGTACATGTCATATATTAGGTTTCGACAACTCTATTCTATTATTTAGATTGTGTGATATTTTACCTTCCCTTTTAATTACTTGTTAATGTGTATGCATTGCCTTTTATTACTATGTAATTACAATGACACTTACCCGTGCAAACGGAGGCATGGATACATACAGGCAGGATAGGTTGTGTTGCATCATGTAGTTATGTATATCCTTGGCCACAACTTGTGCCGTGCGATTTACTTCGACGACTTTGGTAATATAAAGACATTCTTCACCACGACCACACCTGTAATGTTATAATATAAGGTGATAATAATTTACATGTTGTACGAGTGATGGTGGTCATGTTTGTTACGATATCACGTTATAGCATTATTTAGTATTAGCTTTCATATTGAAACCTTCTGAATAGTGCGACATGCACTATTTTAAAAAATCTCCA